GACCCAGTTATCCTATTACTGTAGAACTCAAGGAAGCCTGCTTTCATCGAGTTGTAAAACTCATAAAAGTATGAAGTGTCCTCGCTCGCCATCAGGTAGGACGACATTATTCAGGTGGTGGAGCTCTTTCACTGCTCTGGTTCCATGAGTATACTCTTTCTAGAATAATCTCCGGCGGCTTCGATCTGCCGAACACCGTGCTCACGTTCCAAATACCGGACGTCACGAGAGAACGTGAAAAACACGCGATATTTCCAGAGACACCAGTGCATATGTTGTAAACCCGAGTTAACTGTTTAGTTGTCAGTAGTCATTTTTGCCGGGCACTACTGCCAGACAACAGTGTGAATACCGTGGTTCTTCGAGGGAGCTTAAATTGCTAAAACAGTGAATATGTAAGTCTTGATTTACCGTGTTTACCTGGTAACCAACTAGCTACTTGTTAGTGCGGATCACCCACCTCATACTAGCTAAGTGAGCTAGCACACGAGTTAGCCTCAGCAGTTCAGCCGTACTTAACACTGTTGCCGAGACAAAAAGGCACAGCTCTTCGTTAACGCCACAGGCTACAACTTTCCATCAATCTACTGTAATTTTGCACAATCCTGTCTCAAACTCCTAAACGTGAGCTTGCATTGTTTATGGACCTGACAACAGCTCAGTCATCGTTAGCTAGCATGCTAATGTCAATGAACATGACAAGGGTAATGCTAAGAGTGGAAAAGCATGGTGTCACGCTCCGGGGTATTCACTTTAAGCTAACGTAAGCTAACACGCACTTTCACTTTAAATGTGATTGCAAGACATTCTTCTCTTAACCCTGTGAAACAATGGCCTCAGTGTGGTTAACATCTAGCAATGGCGGATTATGGTAGTATTACCCGAAACCTTTCAAGTGCGATAATCTAATTGTACCTCCGATATAGATATATATCTCAACAAGTGCATAGTTTGGCTTAAAAGATATTGTAAACTTTTTATTGGCCAACAAGTATTAGTATAGGACGGATAAAGAGGGCGTTTGGGAGGCCTATGTGCTAATCTCAATGAATGAGTTACGCCTTTCTCAATTCCACAGTGTGTGGGTACTGCACCCTATACACGTGGGCCATGATCTTATAATGCCCACACTAGGCAGTGGAAATATGAGATCAGAGAGATGCATTGGTTGTTTTGGATTGTCTTAATGTTCATTTTTCATTTTTGTTCTTGGTGTATAGGCAGCCTGCAGCAGCCAAGTGGTATGACAGACGAGAGTCTGTCTTTATAGAGTTTTGCATGGAGGACAGTAAAGATGTGCAAGTAATCTTTGACAAGTCCAAATTCACTTTCAGGTAATTTGCATTGTTAGCATATTAAATGATGACATTGTTAAAACCCTGTTTGCTAGAAGCGTCTTTAAAAAAAAGTCTTTCATTTCATCTTACAGCTGTGTCAGTGGAACAGATGATATCAAACACCAGAATACAGTGGAGCTTTTTGGGGAGATTGACCCTAAAGTAAGTTTTTAACTTGTGCAGACAGTTCAGGTTGGACCCTGCGTACCATTGTTAGGAAACCTTCACCAGTTTCTTCTTCTGATATACAGGAATCCAAACACAGACGCACTGACAGGTCTGTGTTGTGTTGTTTACGAAAAGCAGAGCCTGGGAAGTCATGGCCAAGACTTACCAAAGACAAGGCAAAGGTAACTCTCAGCAGTATAACATTTACAAAAACTCAGAATACATCAAAATCTCATAGTATACATCATTACCTTGTTGTTAACATTGTCAGTTACATTGACCCTCAAAGAGGTAAGATCAGGGTTTAAGTTGAAAGGTGGAGCATGTAATGCATATGTAATTTTTTATTTTTTTTTAATGGAAGTAGGTTTAAGAGTGAATGACATTTTTGGGAGAATCAGGTTGTTCATCTTTCATTCAATAAAAGAATTAAGAAAAAGGAAGTAGATAGGGGTTCGTCTCCATCAGGTTGCACTTTTATCAAGTATTTTACAACTTGCAACTTACTGTTTAAAAATAAAATAAAATGACTCCACAGTTTTATCTGCTCCGCTATGAAGGACTGTATTATAAACAATAAGCTCTCTGTTGCACAAACAGTTTGAAACCATTTCCACATTACCCCGAGCATTGTTCTGTTTTAAAAAAAATACCTAAGTAAATATCAAAATTATAAAGTGACTGAATTTTAAACTTTGCCTAACCAAAACATTTTAATCTACTTGCTTTTAGTGCAACTGGCTAAGTGTGGATTTCAATAATTGGAAAGACTGGGAAGATGATTCAGATGAGGACTTGTCAAGTTTTGATAAATTCTCAGAGGTAAGTGTGTCAAACATGCACAGTCTGCTCATTGTTTGACTATGTTCAGCTAAACTGACATGTTGATTTGTGTCCTGCACCTTCCTCCAGATGATGAATAGCATGGGTGGGGATGATCTACCAGATTTAGATGGAGCAGATGAGGAGGTATAATATTTGTTTGTTTTATATAACTGTAGTACAGCTGTAATTTGGCATTTAAATTTTATATAACAGGTGTTACACATAATTTTAATTGTTTTTTCCTTTTTTTTGCAGCATGAGTCTGCAGACAGCGATGATGAAAGTACGTAGCGATCTGAAAGGGCTCTGTTGTGATTTATAATCTGTAGTCACTAGATCACACGAGTCCCAAAACTCTGATAATGCCTGGCAGTGCGAAAAAGTGTCAAAACAGATGATTAATTATGGAATAATTTGAGTAAGAAATTACACGTGTGGGGAAAAAGTCACAAGTTATGAGATTTTATTTAATAGAATAAATTTTTATTTATTCAATGTTTTTGTTTTTATACATGTTAAGATTGCTGCGTTTAAACAAAATGCAACTAATGCAATGTACATAAGACTTTCAGCCACAGCTAATTTGCAGACCTTGTCCCTGGTTACGCTTTTTTCAGACAGTTAGAAAACAGCAATAATAAGAGAATTAACAGCAACCATGATAAAGAAATCCCATAATTCATAGCACTAACACACATTTGGTATATCAGAAATTGTTTATTAGTTTCTTTAACAATCCACTTTCTCCAAAAAGCCCATAGACTTTTTTTGTAATGACCATAGCCATAAAAATTAAATTTCATACTTAGATCATGTTTTTAACTTTCTCTTTCAGAAATGCCTGATCTTGAGTAGTTGAATATGGATGCCACCTCAGTAGTTAACAAAGTGAGTTCTAAGTTTGTTGAAGAGGGAGACTAGGCATGAGTTGGCATCCACGTTGAAGAAGAACCTAATCTCGACGCAGTTTCCAAAGCGACACCCCTGAAGGGAGTGGCAGGGAGTGACTGTTGGATGGAGACATGCACAGAAATCCATAGCAACATACAGTGCTGTGCTTTGCTGTTTTGTTTTGCATGGACAATTCTGTTCAAATGAAAATGTTATTGTTCATTGACTTAAATGATGATGTTATGGGATGTACTGATGTCTTACAACTTCTCTCCGTCTCTTTTTTTTTTCCTTTTTTTGCCGATGTCAGGTTATGTATTAAACGTTGTGATTTCTAATGAAAAGAAAAAAAACCTCAAAAATGCCTATTTTCCAAAAAAGTAGATTTTTTAATAACAGATTTTCCCCTTTAATGTTTGTATTGTAAATTGCACATATTTTCTTTGTTAATTTAAGAGGCAGGAGTTCTGCTTGTAATGGGTTTTTCAAATGTATGCCAACATCTACAAATATTTAACAATAACTTTTTTAAAAAATATGTTTCAGCACTTAAAATAAACATGCTTGTGCAACTTAACAGCTTGTGTTGAGGTTATGGTAGTGGAGTGCTGCTGTTGTTCCACGTAGTCATGCCTTTGCAAAGATGAGTTTCTTTATGCTGTTATATGAATCATCAAAATTAATTTTCTTACAGATATTCCGAGGTGACGGCAGAGATCCTGTGTAGTTAACAAAGTCACACAAATGGTTTAATCCCGTATAGATTATAAATGTTTATCATATACAACAGAACTATGATTGGAGGTTTGTTTGATTCAACATGTGTTGAATTCTTTCTTTGTCTTATATTGTGGGAGTTTGGCTATTAATTTCTAATAAACTTTACTGGTCACTGTAATTGTTCTCTTGCCCATAGTGGCCATAGTCTTGCCTTCCTAACAGTTCCATTGTAAATGATGGAAGACTGCACTAATATATGCAAGTTCAGCTTGATTAATATTGAGACTTTTGCCGTGTGAGTCAGCATGTTATAAAGCTTTCCTTTTAAGAACAACGTTCTCAATAGGTTTTGTTTTTGCTGGAGCGATGGCAAAGCTCAAAGAATGGTATTAAGTTACTCCAATTTGCTCTTCAAAAGTATTTTCACGCAGAACAAAGACTGCAAACGTACCATAGTTCTTAAATTGAGCTTCATAAGGAAGGGGTCTTTTAAGGGTCAGTGCTAAGAGATTTGCAGCAATTAAAAGTCCATCTGTAAGTACTGCATTAAAAAGAACTCTGAAAAATCTTTATATCCCATGATCCAAGTTCTATGAAATGTGAAATAATGGATTAATCACGTCATAGTGTCAGGCTTTTCACAGAACTGCACTCAACTTTTCTCTAGCCTTTAAAAGGGAAATTCAGGGGCTTTCCATCTTCTTTGTTTACTAGAAGGAACTACCCAAAGGTCACAAGTACTGTAGTTCACCTCAGTGAAGTTCGTGGGCTAGATAAACTATTGCTATAAGATTATAGTTTGTTGATGAAAGATGTCAGTGATGATCCCAACTTCTCATAACAAAAGCCCCTTTTATATATATATATGTATGTATATATATATATATATATATATATATATATATA